CTGTCCAGTGCTCTGCTATTGTAGGCAGTAGCCTAATCTCCTTTTTTAAAGTTTTTCTGTTTCTGTCCTAGGAACAGTTAGGTCTTTTGCCATCACTGCGTGGAAGCTGGATTCACATCAACACTTTGCATAGCATTAGAAATATAGTATGATTTATTTTTTTTTTTAGGGAGGAAAAAAAGGCCCACAATTCTGTAGGATGTTCAGTATTGTAAATGCTCAATGGAGTTATAATGCATCACATCCTGTGCACCCTGCAAAGATGGCTAGTTACTTGTAGTTTCAGAAGTGCTCATGCCAGATAAGGGAACATAACTCTCCAGATGTAACAAATTGTGCTATAATCAGATAGTTGCGATCAAGTATTCTCTATTCTCTATTGCTGTGAAAGTCTGTCTGCAAGCGCATCTCCATAGCATATTTGAAAAGGAATGCTGGAAAAGACCTCTCTTTAGAGAATATGCCTGCTCACTCCTCAGTAAAATGGATGGAGGATCAGAAATTAAAAAAAAAAAAGACTCACTGTGACTAGCTACAGCGTTTCAGTAATAAATCTATCTAAATTTGGCATGGAACTCCAGGAACCAATTGTCCTAGTTATTTACCCATTCAGTTTTCCTAGATGTTTGTCCCTTGCCTCCATAGTAATTATATACTGTGTGTTTTAAGAACTAGAGGTAGGATTTCAGTAATGACTGGTGGGCTGCACCTCAAATGCTGTGTTAAGTTCTGGGCCCCTTGCTACAAGGGAGACATTGAGGTGCTGGAGCAGACGTAGAGGGACCAGAAAAAGGCAACCAAGCTGGTGAAGGGTCTGGAGAGAAAGTCCTGAGAGGAGCAGCTGAGGAAACTGGGGTTGTTTAGCCTGGGGAAGAGAAGGCTGAGGGGGGACATTAGTGCTCTTTACAGCTACCTGACAGGAGGTTGTAGTGAGGTGGGGGTTGGTCTGTTTTCCCAAGCAGCAAGCAACAGGACAAGAGGTAACAGCTTCCCACTGCACCAGGGGAGGTTTAGACTGGACATTAGGAAAAAATTCACAGGGAGGGTGATGAGGCATTGGAACAGGCTGCCCAGGGAAATGGTGGAATCACTGACCCTGGAAGTGTTCAAAAACCATATAGATGAGGCCCTCAGAGATATGATTTTGTGGTGGTCTTGCCAGTCGTGAGGTAATGGTTGGACTTGATGATCTTATAGCTCTTTTCCAGCCTGGCTTATTCTGTGATTCTGTGGAATTACCAGACCTGTTTTGTGTTGGGAAGAGGTCACATTTACCACATATTTGCTACCCCAAAGATGGCAGTTACTCAAAATTTCTTGTCTAAGATTTTAATAAATAATATCATTGCTAGCTGCATGATGGTCTTTTCTGTGGCAGTGTCTTCCAAAGAAACGTGATGATCTTCCAGGCCAGAGTCTGATTGGACTTTGTTTTGTTATTTGCATCAGTGGACAAAAAAACAATAGTGAATGAAAATGGAAATTTAAAAGCATAACAAAAATTAAATTAGTGTCTGTTGTGTACAGCTGTTTCCTTGCCACAAGACTAGGCCTCTTCCAAATGGAGCATATGTGAGGATAAGAAGCACAGGGAAGTAACTGTGGTTCAAAAACTATAATTATGTACTGAGGTTCATAAGATGTAATAACGGCACAACATTTTTGATTGGAAGGAAAAAAAAAATATAAAAAGGAGCTCAAAGACCCAGATGTAAAAGCTAATTGAACTTCATGGAAAGCATCCTGTTTGGGTGCAATACATTGTTGTTTACATTGTACTTAATAGATTAGGCCAGGAGTTCCTTAAATTTTATTGACGGGAGATCATTTCCTGTATGAGATAGCAGTTCAGAAACTGATTAATGTCCAGGATGCAAACACAGTTTGTGATTTTTATAGCATTTAGAAACCAAACAAATAATAAATGAACCAAAATAATCAAGCAATGTACAGAAACTTCATGGACCACAAATGGGTCACAGACAACTTTCTCTGGCACACCAATATTTTTGCTCTTTCAATACAAAACAGTTTAGTCCTTCAGCACTTGTGTGAAGATGCTAAGTAGAAAGCAGAGAACCATAAAGGCAGAAGTAAAAATGAGTCCCCTGTGAGTTGAAGCTGTTAGTGAAAGTAATGCTATCTTTGCATTTATGGGTTAGCAATAAAATTCCTCTTTGCAGAGGGGTAATTCAAGCTTATGCATTATTTAAGTGTGCTGTCAATGGGGCATGTTTTCATATGCTTTACATTTTAGCAAACATAAAAGCCAAAAGTCATCTTAATACTTAGGGCAATCCTTCTTCCTTTCTTTCTCTGCTTCAGTATGTTGTGTCTAAAATGAAATTGGAAATAGTCGAAGTAGCTGTGGACTCAACACCTGTAGTCAGATGTTAAATGTAAATGCTGGAAGCATCTTTAAAATGACCTCATAAAATGATAACATTTGCTCTGTGTTTAAAGAAGTTGAATTTTCAGATGACAAATTTGCTTCCTTATGAGGCTGTTATCAGAAGGCATTGGTTTATTTTCATCTGTGATTTTCATTTTGGAAGTTATCAATTTGTATCTAATTGGAGGGAGGGAGGCTTTGGTTAATCTTGTTTACATTCAAATGTACGCTTGGATGTTTAATCTAAAGAAAAAACAGGTTGTACAGAATTTGAATCAAATGTTATCTTTAACTTTTAACAAGATTCTTATTTAAAATAGAGAAGAGACAAATTATATCAAGGTAACTGTTGTCACTTTGCCATAAGTCTTATCATTAAGTGCGCTGGTATGGCTAATATGTAAATTCATATGCTGTCTCAAGTCTTCATGAGATGAAGTAGGGTTATTTTATAACAGGTAGTAGCATCTTTGATGGCGATAGCTAAAAAAAAAACCACAGAGTTACTTGAACAATTATCTTTTTTTTTCCTAAATTTTCCATAGCAGTTTGGTCTGTGTGATCTATGAAATGTCTAACATGAGCAGTGTCTAAGCTTTAAAGGTCTGGTTTTTAGTGGTGATTAAGTACCTTCTACTCCTTAATAGTCATCATAAGTCTTAGTGGCTCCTAGTCTTTGAAGATGAAGCTATTTCAGTGTTATCCTCGGGATTTTCTTAACTTCTTTTGTAATATTGTTAGGCATGACTGGCAAGTACAGTTATGTTGTTGCATTTTGCCTCAGGGTGGATGAAATGATGGCTTTGTGCATGGGAGTTACATCAAAATGAAAACAAAATTTTGACAAATCTGTGCTATTCTTGTTTAGGTGGAAAGGACAGAGCAAAATCTCTGCCAAAGTACAGCTGCGTGTATTGCTATGATAGAATATTTTATTTACTGCTCTTCCAATAAAAAATATTTCTTTTAAAAAAAAGCAATATATGATACAATCCATCTAGTGGCATGATATAATCTACCCGACTGGGGACAGGACTAGTGACTGTAATCAAGTAGAAGCAAGTGTTTTTTTGGAAAATCTTAAATGGGATTCTTAGCTATGTAATAACAGAGAGGTGGTTTGTCATACTCACTTCTCCCCTTAATCTTTGTGCATGCATGAAGAAACAGTTTGCTTGTGGTTGTATAATGATTCGGAGGTTGATGATTCAGGATGACAAGCTCCATTCATCCAAATGTTCTGAAGTTCTGACCCTTGACTCTCTGAATAGGTGTAGCGCTCACTAAGTAAGTGTAAGATCATATTCTTTAGCTGCAAGTTTAGGTTTCATGTATGCATACTTATATCCTAATTCTGAAAATGACGGCTGATTTTATTGTGAAGCATGGAGGGTCTGTCTACTCACAGCTCATCGTAGGACTGGAGTCTTTAGGACGGTCAGTCCATCTCTGTGGGAAGCAAAATATATTTCAAGAATATCTTCTCTGTCTCTTTTAGATGATCAATTATTTGTTTAGATTTATGTAAAAGCACTATTAGATCTGGATGCCCATTAAGTAATTAATTTAACACTCTACTGATTGACTAATATGTGTTTTCTCTGTATATGCTGTGTCTCAAGGCCAGGTTGGACAGAGCCTTGGGCTACATGGTCTAGTATGAGGTATCCCTGCCCATGGCAGGGGGATTGGAACTTAATGATCTTAAGGCCCTTTCTAACCCAAACCATTCTATCGTGCTATGAAAACAACTAGGGGAAATCTCCTTGTGTATGAGTGTGAGCATCCCATATATATCTGAATGTTTTTGAAATCAAACTAATTTGGAAAAAAAGGTTTTTAAGATAAAGTCACTAATGGTAAATGGTTTTGCTGCTAATTTCTGCTGCAGGCACTAGGATGACATGCTTTTTTCAGTTTTATACTGAGGTCTCAAGAGATACCGTATTTGTTAAACTGATATTAATTAAAAATGAGAGAGCAAATTGGTAGGTTTAGACTTGATTAGTTTCTTCAGAAAAGCCCAGATAGTTCTAATGTGGAGAGAGGAGTCTAAAACCTCTTTGTTTTCCTTCTACACTCAGTAGCAAAGCAGCCTTTCTGTGAAATTTCTATTTTTTTACTAATTTGGGACTCTCAATTTTTGTTTTCACATCACTGTTGATATGAGTATTCAGATTCAACCTGATACCAGTGCATGCACCTTCATTTGAAGACAGCAAGAGGTGATGATTTGACGTACAGTCTGATGGTCTCTGAGATTATGGTGGGGGAAATAACTGAAGAGTGTTGGATGGTCCTTTAGCTACTTCTGTAAAGAAGTACTGCATTCCAGTGTAGAGTGTGATTTTACTGAAAGCATGCAATGCCTTCAAAAAAGGCCTGATGGTGGGGGATGGTGCATTTCCTGACAGCCATGACAAAATGATTCCAGCTGTTCCTGAGAGGCACCTAATGCTGTGCTGAAAATTGCTGATTTGTATATCTTTAGGATTTAAATGCGGCAATGTCTGTTTTGCAGTGTTGTTTAACTAACTGGTTCTAGTTAAGTGGTTGTTAGCACAACACACAGTTTTGGTAATGCTGTTTTTGTCTGTAATCTTTTAAGGTTGTGCTGGTGAGATGGAATGAACCATTCCAGAAATTAGCAACCTGTGATGCAGATGGAGGAATATTTGTTTGGATACAATACGAAGGCAGATGGTCGGTGGAACTTGTGAATGATCGTGGGGCACAGGTTGGTATGCATGTTTTCTTGCAGTCAAGAGATCTGTCCTCATCAAGTCCTGGGAGGCAAAATAAAGAGGAAGTGGTGCTTTATACATTTGTCGTGGTTTAAACCCAGTCAGGTAATTCGTTCGCTCACTTCCCCCCCCCTTTCTTGCCCTCCCCCTGCTCCCGGAGGGACGGAGAGGAGAATCAAAAAGAATGCAACTCCCACAGGTTGAGATAAGAACAGTTTAGTAACTAAGGTATAACACAAATCACTACTGCTACCACCAATGATAATAATGATAAAGGAAATAACAAGGGAAGAGAATACAACACCTCAGCACCAGCCGACCGATAACTCACCCCCCCCAGCCCGACCAAGCTCCGACCAATACCTCCTCCAACCCTGCAGTCCCCCAGCCCTTCCGGCTAACTCTCAGTTACCTCCTGGGCATGACGTGCTGTGGTATGGAATACCTCTTTGGTCAGTTTGGGTCAGGTGTCCTGTCTCTGCTTCCTCCCGGCTTCCCCTCCTCCCTGGCAGAGCATGAGGCTCACAAAGTCCTTGGCCAAGCCAAAACATCGCTATCAGCTCTGTTCCTGAGCCGAAAGTCAAAACACTGCACTGCACCAGCTACCAAGGAGGAGAAACATGACTGCTACTGCTGAACCCAGGACAACATTTCAAAAAGCACAGGAGAAAATGAAACATTTCTTTTTGAAAACAATATGCAAGAATTGTTACAAAGACACTTTTCAGGGACTGTTGCTTTATCCAATGGCCATGACATCAGAGCTGCACCTGGGCTAATAGTTGCCCTGTCAAGTTCTGTGCAGTGCTTACCTTTTGTTAAAACAACAAAAAAGTCCTATATGGCCCATATATCTATTTTCTTATCTTTGGTATATTAAGGTAAGCGACTTTACATGGAGCCATGATGGGACTCAAGCGCTTATCTCCTATAGAGATGGATTTGTGCTGGTTGGTTCAGTCAGCGGACAGAGACACTGGTCTTCAGAAATAAACTTGGAGAGTCAGATAACCTGTGGCATATGGACTCCAGATGACCAACAGGTAATGGCGCTTTTAGAGGTATTGTGTTGCATTTATGTGCTATAGAATACATCTCTTAAAAGGTTGTTAAGTGGTCACTTTGTAAGAACAGTTTCCCTCAGAACTGGTGCTCCCACAGATAAAAATTTAATTAATTCTTTCATTCTCATTAGGCAGATATGATAATGTACCAAGTTACCTATCATCACTTTTCACCCCGATTCACATGCAGTCTTATTCAAAGTTAGTTGTTTGAGGCAGGAATCTGTATTTCTACCACTAATTTGTTGATACAGCTATCTTGAAACTGCATTTGAGCAGAGATACAGCCTGGACTAGTAAACACCTGACTGGTCGTTTCTGTATACAGCTGTCCAGTCTACACTTGCAGTAAAAGCAGTTCCAGTGACAGATATAGTTATGTTTTGGCTTCACATGAGCAAACGGATCCAACTGATTGAGTGTAAGAGGCACCTCTCAGCCTTATGCAAACAACATAATTCAAAAGAAGGTCATTTTTCCACTGCTGAGCCTAGAAAACTTTATGAACTTTGAAAAATATGGTTAAAAAATCTTTACTGTTTATCTAAAGAAGCATATGATACTGGTCGCATCACCATTTATAGTGGGGCTTCAACTAGCCCATTGATTTCGTGTGTAGATTTTACAATGGCCCTTCGCCATTCACCGTTGAACTTACTGGAATGGTCTTTCCTTCCAAATGCTTGCTGCCAATATGGTTAATGTATGTATAATATACTACTGAAAGAAATTATGGGGATAATAATTTGCAGAGAGGGACTGTGTTATGATCACAACTGGATTATTTTCCGTCCTTCCTTTTACACCACCATGAAAAGGTGCTGGTTCAATATCCAAGGTACCACTGACTTTAATGTAGAATACTATACCATCCAAGATAGAGTTATTTTTGGAATTGCTAGTGGAATAAATAGCACTATTAATATGCATTTTTACAGCAGCATCTCATAATTTTAGAGCTGTGCAAAGAATAATGAATTAATTATTGTAACACTACTCTTTAAAGCCAGGGAGCCTAACTGCCTCTTTTTGAATCTGGGGAAGTGTAAATAAATAATTTACTCAAGATCAAGAGGAAAAGACAAGAACCAGAAGCAGCAGGAGAAACTAAGATCTAATAGCTCTCAGTCCTATGTTTTAAACATGAGGCTACCCCATTTGTGTGATACTCAGTTGTTGCTGCAGTATTTGGAAATATCTTCACTTGAGTGTGTAATTCGGGGTGACCGACTGCCTTTAATTCAATTTAGGCAATATGTTTGTACTTTCTAATCTGGATGCTTCATAAGTGGTTATTCCAGGGAACACTTGTTAGTGTCCAGATAAGCACATTGAAACATAATAGCCTATTCCAGAGTTACAGACTCTACTGCTGACAAACTCACTGAAATAGAGACCAAAATCAGCTAAGAACTTGACGTTGCTCTGCACCATCTTCTAACTATGGGGTTTGCATGTTAAGTGATGAGGGATTTTGGTACTGTTCTCTGGAGTTGGTGCAAAGAAGTGGTCTTCTGAAAAGTGTTTAGATGTATTTGCCTCTGGAGGCACAAGGACATACGATTTACTGAAGCACTAGGTAAGAGACTATGCTCAGTTCAAGCTAGTCAGTCTGGGGCAGGGCGGGGGGGGGTTGGGGATGGACATTGCATATATTACACGCAAATAAGCACATACAGAAATTAATACTCTTACTAACTTACCTCCTGATCTAATTTCTCTGGTGATTTGTAACTGTGCAAGTAAGAACAGAATATTATTCTAGTCTAAAATAGGTTCAGCATCTTCCCTATTGCCTAATGTAAGCTACTTGTCAGTATAGCAAGTGAAAGATAAATGTCAACATTTAAGTTTATATTTTCATACTATTATTTTTGTCACCGCTTTCTGGCACTGTGAAAATTGCTAATAAAAGTATTCCTGGAAAATGTCCCAGGACCTTTTAGCACAACTTGGAAAGTTAAATTTCGAAGGGGAATGTATTGTTCAGTATCAGTTTTCTATCGTCCTGATTAAAGTTTGCTCATTGTAGTCTATTTACCTCACTCTTCAGTTCTCTTAACTTTCTCCCTCAGCCCCCTGCTGCATCCGTCCTCCTCTTCAAGTTTCACCTGCCATCTTTTCTCCTACCTGTCTCTTCAATACCAGTAGGCTATTGCCTCTGACACTCCTCACCACAACTCTGTGGCATCTCTGCCACAGGGGAGGGTAATTTACTACTACGATCTTTCTATTGAAGACAAGAAATGGTTGGAGCTACATTACTGCCAGCCAATTCTGTCTTGTTTGATAGGATGTGTGTGGCCTCTGGGTTTGTGTCCTTGTTATGCATTGGCTCAGACTTCTAAGTAAAGCACCTGAGATAGTGGCTGATGTCACCTGTGGTTGAATCTCCATAGTTAATGCTTCCCAAGGTCTTTTAAGAGCCTAGACATGAGATGAGAACTAGAGAGATGGCCAGGGTGCAGCACAGTCCTGCTGAAACTGAGCATATAGTTGTATCGTTTAACTGATTTGGTACGCACTTTGCCCTGATGAAGTTATTGGCTGATTTTATTAATACTATATGCAAGCGTTCTGCATTTTCCTGTAGGAAGAGAGTGGTATCATTCTTCTTGCAGCTCTGCTGTTTTCAGGATCTCTTGAGTTCTCCTTATCTCCTGGGCACGAACTGATCATGAGTCATAGGACAGTTGATACAACCTGGTTGACTGGAGTGCTTTCTTTCTCAACATCATATGTCATCAGATGATCTTCTTGTAAAGGTCATTGGCAGATTTTTACAGTGGTCAGAACCAGGTCCCGAATCTGGACTTGAAGCTGTGAGCTTCTTTAGCTAGTTGAAGACACAGGCCTTGTGATTGTGTTTCTGCTTATTTAGGCAGAGGACTAGAAGTTCATTTTCTCACTTCAATGTGTGTCTGTAGCTTCCTCATTTAGGTGTTTCCTGCTCCTGTACAGTATAACCAAAGCACATGTCTGGCCAAGGCAGAGAACCTTGTTACACCAATGGCCTCTTGAGGATAATAAGCAAATACACACAACAGGAAGACTCTGCAGGACTGAGTATTTCCTTTCACTGTTTTGAAATGTTGTTTTTTTTAGGGCTACAAGAAGCTGTAGTAGAGCCTACTTCCTCAGGGTCATGTGAAGTATTTTTCTGATGAGAAGACTCACATAGCGTCATGTAGGGATGAGAAGTATGTTTGAGGTGAAATGTAAATTTGAGATATAAGGGAGTGCTGTACCCTGTCTTGAGACAGTTCTGTGGTGTCATTCCACGCCTGTTTCCAAAGAGGGAGTATACATACCAAGTAAACGGAATGACTTCCCAAGTGAGAAGAACTGAAGATTTGGCTTGCCAAAGGGTTTATTTATCATTATACAAGCAACATCAATAAGTAACTGAAGATTTTTCCTAAGCCCACAAGTCATATAAAATATCTTTCTAGTGCTTCGTGTCCCCTCCTGTGCGCTTGCTCAGCTCATAGTGACGTTTTTCTGTCAACATCTGCCTTTGTGCCCTCCTTTTTCTTCTCCCAGATTTTACCTATTGAAGAGGCTTATCTCCATTCACGATGGGGAAAGGCACAGAGTCACAAGAACTGGGTGAAAACTGTAGAGGGGTCTGATTATACTCTTGTTTATTAGGAATATAGTGTAACTCCCTGAACTTCACTGATGTTTCTGTTGTTGTTCCTGTGTGTGAAAAAAAAAAAATCAGAAGGAAATCACTCTTCAATAGCGAGAAGCCTTGATGAAAAAGAAAGAATTTAATTTGTGGATATCCCAAGAGATGCTATTAATCTATATTTGTTCCCTGTATCTTATGTAGTGTAAATTACTAGGCTTTTCTGACAGCTGTAACAACCCATATCTATATTCCCCCCTCCTCTTTCCTGTTGTAAGCTTTTTTTTATGGAAATTCAGGGACTGGCCAGGACATGACAGACTACATGTACATGTGAACTTTGCCCACATGCTTCCTTCTGTTTGCTCTGAAAATAGGCATACAAGCAGTTACCTAATTTGATTTGCATCCTGCTGGGTACAACGTGAATTCCTGTATGTGGTCCCATCACAACATTACATGCATTAGTACTAAGAATGTGTAAATACAGGCCCCCAGTTTCAGCCTGTTCTGTGTCTAATCCTACAAAACTCTGCTCATGGTGGAAGAGAAAAGCAGCACTGTGTTAGGAACAGGTACTGTGTATACTGCTGGGTCTTACAAGATGCTGGAAGAAAACTATGAGACCTGTAGCAGATGAAACCGGTGTGTCAAAACACAGGGGGTGGGAGGTCTTGATGTTGTTTGTTTGCTTGTTTCTTTAATGTTTTGTAGTTTGCAATAGCTGTGCGAGAAGGCAGTTTCTATGCTGTTATTCACTCCTGCTTCCAGCCCTTGCCATCCCTACTCCCCTGGCAACCACAGATGCTTCAGCATCCTTTTATCTGACAGGCACAAGGCAGGTGCAGGCTTCAGCTCCTTCACCCTGCCTGCAGCACCCTGCCGCAGTGCTTCAGGGTGGAGCCCAGGACCAAGAAAGGATTTTTCCCATGAAGAAGGGGATGCATACTACTTTCTATGTTCAACAGTGTAGTTTGATGGGATCTATGTGGTGGTACTGCATTCAGAAATAGTTGTTCTGAACAATTCTAAGATGAAAACAGGGAAGGTAGCCTCACCTAGCTTCCAGAACATGGCTTAAAAATAAGGAATTTGTAAATATTTGGACGTATTGCATCTGTGTGGGCCATGGTGTCATCTTCTCATGTATGTCTTCTCATCACCTGTAGCTCTGAAAGGAGGAGTTAGTGCTTCCATTCACTCTACTGACTCAATCAGGCATGATTCAGGCAGTCTTTGCTATTGTGATAGTCACACTGATCAAGTTTAATTATGCTCAGACATCTAGCTGTGTGGAAAAAAAAATCTTTAACACAGCCTTCTAATGAGTTGACAGAATGATGAAAGG